GTCAGAGTTGACGTGAACTGGATTCAGCCTTGATTCAAGCCTGGTCTCTTAGGGATTTCTTGTTCTGCTGCTGCCTTGGCCCAAACCGTCCCTCTCCTCCCTATTTTTTTCTTTATACTGTGTCTCTCAACCTGCCCTTCGCTGCCCTATCTTGCCTTGCCCTGGCAAGCCCCGGGTGAAAGGAAGCGACAGCCTACAGGTCCTGGCTGGATTGCCAGCTTGCAGGGGGTGGGAAGTTGGAGAAGTGGTCACTTGCTCTATGAAGAATAGAATGCTCTAGAATCAAGCAGAACGATAGTTTTAAAGTGATTTTTTGGACATAAGACACCCACATAAGCCAAAGTGTTTCCTTTTTTTTGTCTTCTCCAACGAATGCTTGTTTCTGTCCCTGCCATCCAGGGTAATGAGGGTGCTTAGGGAAACACAGTGGACAGAAGCTTCTTCTCTAAGCACCAGAGGAGGCTGAAGACTCGGAGTATGGTCTCAGCTTGGCCGATTAGAAGCATCACCTTAGTTTTTCTCCTCATTTGTAAAAAGAGGAACGTACACGAAAAGAGTGTGTACAAGTTTTCTAACTTATACTATTGTATTTAACAGTTACCTATGTGCCAGCTCCTTACCAACACTGGCCTAGGGATCTAGAGTGAAGAAATGAACTAAATCTCCCCTCCTGGGGAGGTTAAATTCTAACAAAGTAGACTTTGGAGAAGACAATGAACAAACAACTGAGTGTCAGAATGGGGAGAAAGGCGTTGCTATTTATACGCAATGTTGGGAAAAGCCTTCTTAGCTGAGGTGGCATTAAACAGCTATGTGAATAGAAGGAAATGGTTTTCCCTTAGAAATAGATCATGAAACAAACTGATTATTTCAAGTGGTTCTTTTTCTAGACCTGCAGTCTATTCAGAGTCTCTATTTCGAGGAACAAATATATTCACATCTGATCTACCTCTTTCATTTTTAGTCTTGTGAGACCAATTCATTCATTCATTCATTCACTGATTTAAAAAACAATGAGTTTCCATTATGTCCCATGGTCTGTCTTAAGTGCTGAAGACCCAAAAATGAAAAAGCCATGGTGCCTGCCTTCAAGTAGCTCAGAATTTTTTGGGAGAGACAAACAGAAACAGATGTTTCTAAAACAGTGTGACATGCACCATGACAGAAATACACTTGGGGAACATGGACAAGGAGCCGCTAACCCTGGCTGGGCTGAAGGGTGACTCAGGAAGGATTCCAGGCTGCAATAACTTTGGAGATGAGCCTAAAGCCCTGAGGAGGAGGGGTTCACTCATCGTGAGGGTTCCTAGCAGAGGGGATAACATGAGAAGGGCAGGGGAGTGACACCTGGCACCACATGCCTAAGAAAACAACAGAGTTCCGTGTTTCAGTAGAGGGTGCAGGGGGCATGGCGAGAGGGGGCTGGAGAGGTGGGAGGGAGTGCAGGGGCACAGCAAGCCACAGTGGACAGCAGGACAGCCTACTTTCCAACCCACTTATCCTGCGGCTTGGGTGGCGCAGGTCCTTTTCAAGAAAAATAACTCAGCTCTGCAAGACCCTCTGTTACCAAGCATCCAAATCATTTTTGCACCCAAAAAGGTCTCATGGATGCTTCTTGACTGGGGAGAGTCAATCTTCGAATGCTACAGTTGCTTTGTATTTGTGCAATGAACATGTGCAATGCTAAGAAAAAAAATTGGTGCAGCTGATGTTCAAGCAGTTGTCATGTGGGAGGGAATTCTCTTTTGCCAAAAAGCCAAAAAAACAAAACAAAACAAAACAAAACAAAACAAAACAAAACAAAACAAAACAAAACAGAAACAGAGAAAAAGAAAAAAAAACGCTACTTGAAAAACCACCTAAGCACTTCTTATACTTCTTCTGAGAAGGCTTACGTCTCTAGCAGCTGTTCTGTGTCACAATCTACAAGTGGAAAAAGGGCGGGTTCTTTTTTTCTCTCTCCAAAAAATAATAAAGCAGCAATCCATTTCTGTCCGAGAGTTATTTCCTGAGACAGGGCCCTTGAGAGCCCTGGCAGCTCCCTCTTGTCAGCTTCCTCTGTGGGCAAAGGGCTTTTCCCCAAGGGAAGTGTCATTCATACAGTCATAGCTTCAAGAATACAAACCAGCACAGAGTGCACCAGATGTTGGGCCAGAGCTTTCCTCCCTCACTCTGTCAATGAGAAGAGAAAACATATTTCCACAGAACCCTTTTCCAGGAGTGTTGCTATGAGGGGGAGTTGTCTGGCCGGCAGACAGAAACTCTTGGTGTCTTTGAGCTGGGCTTCAGGATGTGGCTGCCAATTCCAAAAGTCCTTTCTTTTACAAATATGTAAGTAAAATAGGCATTTGAAAGGTGAAGGTTCTGTACCACTTGTGGGACTCTAGGGATGATTTATAGGGCCATGTGGTTACACCTTGGTCTGTGCAATCTTCCACAATTTCCGATTCCCGGCACCCAGCAGAGCTGACTGTTTCCTATTTCTTTTTCCATATTGTTGGCCAACTACTCATTACATTATGCTACAGTAACATATGAGCTGATTGGTTCCATTGCCGGAAGACAGAGACCCTGTCTTTCTCAGCTTTTTCCTGAGTCTGATAGAATCTAAGTGCCATGAGGTCAGGAATCTTTGTTTACTGGTGTGTTTCAAGTGCCCAGGGCCATGCCTGGCACATAGTAGGTACATGGTGATTATTTAGCAAGTGAATAAACAAGTTGCTAACAAAGGAAGCCTGTGACATGATTGTTGGATGAATACGCTCCTTCTCCCTTACCTGTGTTTTTGCTTTCCGAGGTTTCAGGCACCCTCCTTCAACCAAGGTCTGAAAATAGGTGAGTACAGTAAAGTAAGATATTTTGAAAGAGTGAGAGAAAAACCACATTCAATAACTTTTATCACAGTATATTGTTATAATTGTTCTATTCCTTTATTAGTTATTGTTAATCTCTTACTGTGTCTAATTTATAAATTAAACTTTATCATAGGCGTGTATGTATAGGAAAACACACAGTATGTATTGGGTTCTGCACTAGCTGAGGTTTCAGGCCTCCACTGGAGGATTTTGGAACAAATCCTATGTGGGTAAGGGGAGACTACTGTAACTGAGGTCTGTGAAGACTCAGGAGATCCTTAGGGCTTTTTTTTGGGGCGGGGGAGGGAAGAAATCAGACAGTTGAACGCTTGCATGAAACAGCATTCCCACATCACTGGGGGGAATTCCAAAAGGCATTCATTTCTAAAAGGTATTAGTTGCCTTGCGGGACCCCGGAGGGATGACTGACATCTCCCTAGGGAATTTGATTGTGGTTAAGCCATTGTCAGTATGACACAACCAATGTTGTTAACTTTTGTGTCTCATCCAAAGATCTCAAAGTAGATAAAAAACTTTGAAGTGGGATAGATGTTTTGATGATGATTCATCAGGACTTTAAAACTTTATTCTAAGAGTAAAAATGAAGAACACTTTGGTGGGAAAGGGGCCATGGAGCTCAGTGACATGATCCTTACAGTTTATAGTCATGCTTCTTACTCTTACGTCATGATCAGTGCCTACTACAGAGTCTGACACATCATAGCTACTTACTGTTCTTGGAAACAAACACTGAATAGTGGCCCCTGATGCAGATGTTAACAACATCCCTGGCCTAGGGTACTTTGACCTTTTCCTACTATTCAGCTTCACCACTGAGGAGCTCTTCCTGGGTGGTTTTGCTGTAGTGGAGATCCATTTCCTGAAAAACTAAAGGGCAAAATCTTGATTAATATCGTCTGGCTATCCAGACCCTTAGTTAAATTTTAAAAATTAATGTTATTTTGACTGCATTCTACCTTTGGAAGAAAAAACATAATAAATAAAGAGGCAAGGTTTTAGTTAAAAACACAAAGCATAGTTCTAGGATAAGTTATGTCTTTGGGAAGTTTGTAGCTTACATCCCTCAACCATATGATATTAGTAGCTTTTGGTTGTAGCCCTTAGGCAGTATAGTTTTATGAAACATTTAAATATATTTCATATGAAAGAAGGGCTCAAGATGATAAATTGAAACTGCAAATTGAACATAAGACATTTCTTAATACTCTATTTTTCTTGAAATGTATTAATTGCTTTAAATGTTAATAAGAATTAAGGAAAAGGACAGACAAATACAAACTGGAAAGCAGTGAAGTTAAAGTGTCACTTTCTAACAATAAGAATTTGGCCTCTGAGTGATATGCCTAGGAATTTAATCTCTAGATCTTTCAAGAATGACTTTTTAAATGCATAGTATTAAGTTTATGAAAGTGTGTGATGCACTTTCGAAAGCATTTAGGTCAACAGAGACATTCGAAATATAATGATGACCAGTAACTAGCTGGAAAATCCCTTCAGCCAGAATATTGCGCAAACATTCTAGTCACTCAGACTTCCAATGTAGAAAAGAGCTCTCCACAAGAGGTATTTAAAAGGCTTTCTCCTTTTCTATTTTTTTTTTTCCCCCGCAGGGTTTCTCTCTGTTTATCTGTGTCTTGGGGTAATGGGTGACATACCTCTTCAGGAGAGCTTTTTCCACCCTTCCTTTCTCCAATCCTTTCTCTGTTTATTTCTTTATCAATTAATTTATGCCCCAACTATGTGTTGTATGCCTACTTATGTGCCGGGGCTGGTTATGGGTGGAGGAGACACACAAGAATTGGTTCCTTCCCAGAAACCCTGCAAAAATGTGCCTCTTGTCCACTGGTTTACTGCTTGCTGTTTGCAGCGCGTAGACATGGTCTGTTATTCATGCTGCCTCCCAACCAGAAAACTGCTTCTGTCTGAGGACTGCTCCCACCAGTGCTGGGGGTTAGTCAGTCACTTTATCTTTCTGAATTTCCATTTCTTTCCCGGACATGCAGAGAAGTGAACCGGTTGGTTCCTAAGGAGACTCTTAGTTCTAAGGTTCCTGCCTACTTTGTGAATTCTAGTCCACAGACCTGTGAGCATCCATAGGCTCAGTGAATATCTTCTCTCACACAGGTGCTGAGAGCAGGATGAGCTACTTTGTGGATTCTGCTGGGAGCAGCCCAGTGCCTTACTCAGCGGCTCGTTCTGCAGTGGTGGTGAGTGGTGGCTCCCTTCCCCGCCCCCCTTGCCACGCAGCCTTCTCCCCTCCTCCCCGTGCTTCCTGTATCCTGACATCCCATAGACAGAGAAGACAGGAACTTGAACTCCAAGGTTCAAATCAGCTTTGGATCTTTTGGAGAATCTCAATTGTAAGATTATCTATGATTTTATCAGCATATAAAATAAAACCAAATACTGATGGATTTGCTGAGGAAGTTAATAGCATGTCTGAATTTGAGAGAAATGACTCCAATATGATGACCATTTAAAGCCATTGATTTTCACTGCCCAGTTTATTTGATAAAGATTTTTTACATGTTGATGTTCTTTATTCCAATTCATATTATAATTTCACTTATTTTTGGCCTCCAACATAAAAAGCCAATAATGCAAGTTTTCCTTTTTTTTTTTTTTTGAGACGAAGTTTCACTCTTGTTACCCAGGCTGCAGTGCAATGGCGCGATCTCGGCTCACCGCAACCTCCGCCTCCTGGGCTCAGGCAATTCTCCTGCCTCAGCCTCCTGAGTAGCTGGGATTACAGGCACGTGCCACCACGCCCAGCTAATTTTTTGTATTTTTAGTAGAGACGGGGTTTCACCATGTTGACCAGGATGGTCTCGATCTATTGACCTCGTGATCCACCCACCTTGGCCTCCCAAAGTGCTGGGATTACAGGCGTGAGCTACCACGCCCGGCCCAATAATGCAAGTTTTCTAATCACAGACTTTAAAAGTGAAAATGAAATACGACAATAAGTTTTTGGAAAAATTTCGTAAATCCTAGCATAAGAGAGGACAAAGCAACTTTAAAATAGGATTAGATAGAGTTTTTTGTCCATAGGTGAGAAGACTCTTGCCCAAGCTATATGTTGATCAGTAGAACAGCTTTGACAAATTTCTCAAAAAATGTATTGTGTTTTGATCTTATAGTGGTGTCATTGATCAGTACCAGTGTTAAAAGAAACTAATATCAGCGGCTGTGCCATTAATTATTCTTTCTAATTATGTTTTTATCCTAAGATTGCCATGATAAATGTTGAATTTTTTTACTTATAATGAAATACGGACAGATAAATTTAATTAATTAATTTATTTATTTATTGGGACGAGTCTCCCTCTATCATCCAGGCTGGAGTGCAGTGGTGCAATCTTGGCTCACTGAAAACTCCACCTTCCTGGTTCAAGTGATTCTCCTGCCTCAGCCTCCCAAGTAGCTGGGATTACAGATGTGCACCACCATGCCTGGCTAATTTTTGTATTTTTTAGTAGAGATGGTTTTTTTTTTTTTTTTTTTTTTTTTTTTTTTTACCATGTTTGCCAGGCTGGTCTGGAACTCCCGACCTCAACTCATTTTTTTTGAGATGGAGTCTTGCTCTATTGTCCAGGCTGTAGTGCAGTGGTGCAGTCTCAGCTCACTGAAACCTCCGCCTTCTGAGTTCAAGCAATTCTCCTGCCTCAGCCTTCGGAGTAGCTGGGATTACAGGCACCCATCACCACGCCCAGCTAATTTTTTGTATTTTTAGTAGAGACTGGGGTTTCACCATGTTGGCCAGGCTGACCTCAAACTCCTGACCTCAGGTGACCCATCTGCCTCAGCCTCCTGAAGTGCTGGAATTATAGGCTTGAGCCACTAAGCCCAGCTGCAGATAAGTTTATTATATTGTTATTATTATTATTAACTTTTCCCAGTATCCTTATGGGTCTGAATTAACACCAATAAATAAGAACTTACTGCTGACTTGTCTCTATGTCTCGCTAGAGAGTGTATAATTTTTAACACTGGTGCGTTAACTATGACCTCTCACTGTAATTGTATATTAAAAGATCTGAATTGTTTGAAGTTTTTTTTTTTTTTAGCATTTAAAAAAAAAAAAAATCAGCCAGGCACAGTGGCTCACGCATATAATCCCAGCACTTTGGGAGGCCGAGGCAGGTGGATCACTAGGTCAAGAGATCGAGACCATCTTGGTCAACGTGGTGAAACCCCGTCTCTACTAAAAATACAAAAATTAGCTGGGCATAGTGGTGCATGCCTGTAGTACCAGCTACTCGGGAGGCTGAGGCAGGAGAATTGCTTGAACCCAGGAGGCGGAGGTTGTGGTGAGCCGAGATCGCGCCGTTATACTCCAGCCTGGGTAACAAGAGCGAAACTCTGCCTCAAGAAAAAAAAAAAAAAAAAAAAAAATCTCTCAGTAGCTATTCTATGTTCAATGGAAAAAGACACATTTAAGGATGATTGAGACATCTCTCTTCAGTAGCTGTTTGTATCACATTTTTCTTCTTTTTAAAATGGCTTCTGTGTTCACGTACACAACATTTACTATTACAAAAAATTACAATCAGAAAAAGGTTTAGACAATAATATACATCAGAAATATGTTAAAATTGTCCCTCCAATGCCCCTACTACATGACAAGTTCAGGCAAGAGGAGTCACTCGAGTTTGCTTAATAGGTAGAGATTGTCAAAAAACTTGGGGTTTAAGATCATAAGAGCTGAAGAAGCTGCCAGAGAAGGGTTTCTCTTCCTCTTCCTCACATAGAGGTCATCATTTAAGGTCAACACAAATGACATTAAATTTTTCTTAAAGATGATATTGTAGAGATTTGTTAAAATCAATAATGATACTGTGATTTCAAGGGAAATTTGTTATTGAGTTGAAAAAGAAAATTTAAAAGCCCGCCCATGTTAATTCTATGTACAGTTATTTCTACGTACAAATTAAAACAGATTAATATCGTAGCTAAGAAATGCCATAGCCGGGCGTGGCAGCTCACGCCTGGAATCCCAGCACTTAGGGAAGATCACTTGAGGTCAGGAGTTTGAGAACAGCCTGGCTAACATGATGAAACCCTGACTCCATTAAAAATACGAAAAAAATTAGCTGGGCGTGGTGGCGGGTAACTGTAATCCCAGCTACTCAGGAGGCTGAGGCATGAGAATCGCTGGGATCTGGGAGGTGGAGATTGCAGTGAGCCGAGATTGTGCCATTGCACACTCCATCCTCAGCGACAAAGCAAGACTCCCTCTCAAAAGAAAAAAAAAAGAAAAGAAGGAAGGAAGGAAGGAAAGAGAGAGATTCAGAAAGAGGGAGGGAAGGAGGAAGGGAGGAAGGAAGAGAGGTAGGAAGGGAAGACAGAGAGAAAAAAGAAAGAAAGAAAAGAAAGGCCACACAAATATGTACTTCATTTAGACACTGAAATAAAAAGCCTATTATAACTATAAAAGTTGCAGATATAATATAATGTCATCCTAGACAGAGTTATCTCAAAATTGTAGGAGAATAAGAAAATCCCAAACCAAATACCTCTAAGTGCATAATTTCAGCTAAAGTTACCTCCATGCAGTTGAACACCCTGGATATTTTAAAATAAATTTTGAATGGTTTCCATTGGTTTCAAACCAAGTAACTCATTTACTCCCACCCATGATAGCCCTGTCTGAAAAATGTCAAGTCAACGTGAGATCCTTTCTCTACAAAGTTAAAAGTTGTTTAGGTAAAAGCAGAAGTTCGCACAAAAGACCTGATGAATTATTGCTCTTGAGCTTTCACTGATAACTTCTCTCTAGGCCTCAGTTACTCTGTCACTGAAACTATTTAGGCAATCTTTTAGAGCAAGCAAGAAAGCCCTTTAATTTTTTCACATACTCTTTCTCTAACAAAAGTTAAGAAGTAAATAACACTTATTAGTAGAAACTCAAGTTCAATAAACCAACTCTAACCATAACCTCTAACTTTAGGCTGGGCTGTAATAAACAGAGAAAATTGTCTACAAAATATAACCTTAGGACATTGGCAGTAGAGATGCTAGCAAACAAACCTCACATTCAGTTGCAATCTGAGATTCCCTGGAGGGGTAAGCACAGCTTCATTAGCTTTCCTAGATAAGAAAGTCAAAGCCCCAGACAACCAGTGTCTTCTCAGTTCTCTTGGAGCCTCTCTGTCTAGAGCTCAATCCAGGGTGCTTAATCCAATAATCCAAGTCCTCCTACCTGGTGCTCGAGTCTCTGATTTAGTTATAGTAAATTGAGAGTGAAAAGAAAACCATGATAGCAGTGGAATTCTCAGTAGGGGGTGGTTTTGCCCCCCTAAGGGATATCTGGCAATGCCTGAAGATATGCCTAGTTGTTAAAATTTAGGGAGTGCTCCTGGCATCAGAGACTAGAAGCCAGGGATGTAACTATCACATCCAGTAACACAAGATAGCCCCCTATGGCAAACAATTATCCAGTCCCAAATTCTGAAAGAGCTGAGGTTGAGAAACCTGGTCTAGAGTAGCCACGGATGAAGCTTGAAGGTAGAATGGAACTATTTGTACAGACCGCTCACTCTAGGTAGGTCTTGGTTGCTAGTAAATTAATTGCTCTAGAAAGGGAAATCTAACAAAAGGAAGAGAGACTATGTTCCTACTCTGAGGGGCTCTTATTTTTCATGCTGCATTAGCTGGCCAAGAAACACTTTTTTTTTTTTTTTTTTTTTTTTTTTTTTTTTTTTTTTTTTTTGAGACAGAGTCTCACTCTGTTGCCCCAGCTGAAGTGCAGTGGTGCGATTTTGGCTCACTGCAACCTCTGCCTCCTGGGATCAAGAGATTCTCATGCCTCAGCCTCCTGAGTAGCTGGGATTACAGGTATCCGCCACCATGCCCAGATAATTTTTTATTTTTTGTAGAGATGGGGTTTCACTATGTTGGTCAGGCTGGTCTTGAACTCTGACCTCGTGATCCGCCTGCCTTGGCCTCCCAAAGCCCTGGGATTACAGGCATGAGCCACTGCGCCTGACCTGAAACAATCTTTTCTAAACTAGGATGTCAATATTTTCTAGTGCCTAAAGATTGCTAAGTCTCAGAGTCCTTGCTTTTAAATTAGAGGTCACATTAACGTTATCTGGTCATTTGCTGTGGAAGAATGCTTAGAAATCGAGACAGCCGCCGGTCGCGGTGGCTCAAGCCTGTAATCCCAGCACTTTGGGAGGCCGAGGCGGGTGGATCACGAGGTCGA